CACTCTACACATTTTGCTTTATAGAATGCACATCCAGATATACAAACACGTGAGCAAACAGTGTTACCTGGCTTTCCCATTTTATAGAAAACCTTGCCATAATATGCCGTAATTTGATTCTCTCAGGCTTGAGTTCCTATTGTGGGACCCACAGACCGTGAATCACCAGAGTTGGAGCCTCACAGCTTTGCCCTTGTCTTTGAAGTGGCTGAATTCTCCAGAGACTACTAGTAGTTGGGAGCTTTGGCATGAGGCAAGTTGTTTATAAAATGAGTTTTTGTACAATGTTTAGGGCTGATGCATTTGTGTACACCGTGTCTTTTCATTTTATAAACCATATATATTCAGAACATTTCAGAACAATGCAGATTGACCGATACCGAACAATATCGAACACAAATTATGTGTTTCCCAGAAAGCATGAGCTTTTGGGGTTCTTGGGAGCAGCTGCCATTAAAGTCTTGTGACTGTCTGGGGTCTATTCTGGCGACTTTGGGCTCCGGACACGCTTGTGCTGACGTGTGCTGAGGAAGTCTTCAAAATCATTGACGAGATGATGTATCACAGCAAGGATTTTGTGAGAATTCTGGTCTGTGATGGTGAAGCTTGCAACCGCCTCGTCAAAAACGCGATCTTTGGAGATGCCACCCCAGACTACAGAAGAAAAATCCTGGACACAAAATACTTTTCCCACGTTCACCATAGGAAGATTGCTGGTTTGGAGGGGCTGCCACGCTTTCCTCTTCTGTCGGCTACAGTGGACGGAGAGGCAATATACTTCTTACCTGGAACCGCACACGCGTGCAAAAATGCTGCAGCACAGATTTCATCCAGCACCAAGATTGTCCACTTTGGGATGCATGCTGCTGATGCTTCCGGGTTGCTGAGCGCTGGCCTGCCCCTTCCTGCGTACAGCAGGAAGGATCCAATGTCAGACCGTCTGAGCAGTCTGCTCGCAAACCCGATGTACCTCATCGGAGTGGACCAGGCACTCTGGCTCATGTATATTCATTTTTTTCAATGGAGACGTGTCAAACGATGTTGCATGATGTTACATGTCATATTGTGTAATCAATAGATATCAAATGATATCAAAATTCATTAATTACATTTCCACCTTCGTTCCATTCTCAAGGATGGAGCAGAAGACTTGGCGCACATTTTGGTCCCGTGGCATGCACGTGGAATGCTCTTATGGAACATTTCCGTGGCACTCTGCACAGCAACTTAACCGCAATGCCAATGATTTTCAATTGAAATATATTGGAATATATTGGAATTATAGACTTCTATAAAATGAGATTTTTACTTTCTTGGAAGACTTTACCAATAAAACCATGTCCTTGGTTCATTTTATAAGCAATTTTGACTTGCATTGACCTTTTCAACCTCGCCTTGCTATTTTCGCACAGGCTCCGGTCTTGCACGCTGGCCTTCAATTGCAGGAAAGATGTGAGCTTGCCATCTCTGGTCTCGCGCGCTTAGATCTTTGGGCATTGGTTTCCAGTGAGAAGGAGCGAGCGCTTGGTGTTGGGCGCGGCAAAATGCAGCTTGCTGGACAAACAAGGGCAGCTTTGCAAGGCGTCGCCATGACCTGTGTGGCAATTTGTGCCACAAAGCCAAAGGATTGGTCTCCATTTCAGAAGAGTCACTCCTTGTCAGAAGTCCACATTGAGCAGTACTTTGGACAGCTCCGCAGTCAGTATAATGACAGTGATCTCACACCAAGAGGCTACTTCAATGCGGCTGCAAGGGTGGCAAGGAAGACAGCCAAGAAGCGGGTGAAGGAGCCAAATGACCTGGTCGAGGAAGAGCCCCTGTCGCCCGATCAGTGACTTGGTTTGTGCTCGGGGGGTTTATGAAATGAATATAGGGAGATATGGGGTGTGTGTGGTCATTTTCATACGTGCGAATTTCATTTTATATATACATATCAAAAAAGTTGGATATGGGGCGCCGGTCACTTTCATATGTTGGAATTTCATTTTATAAATGTCAGAAAAGTGTGCATTCATTGAAACAGTGACTCTCAGTCTGTATAAAATAAAATGACTGCAAGACGTCTCTCATGTAAAACTATATTGCCCTAAACAGGTCATTTTATAGTGGTTTCAACTCTGACTTGAAACTACTTGGACTAAAACTGTTCAGGCTTCGATCCTGTGCAAGAAATGCTTTGGCGGCCGCTTTGCACTTGGTGTCTGAGTGCAGTGGTGTGCCGAAGGAGCAACTTGAGAAGTCATACCGGTGTGAAAGCATTGGGGAGTTCTTTGAGGTTGCTGATGATGAAGCAGATGACCTCCTAGAGGATGCCATTCCAGACTCGGTGCAGGCGATCCAAGATGGACATGAAAAAGGCCATGAAATTGAGACGGTCTTGAATGAAATCACATCTGTTGCCACTCAAGAGTTTGCACAATGTGATCCAGATGACCCAGAGGAGCTTCTCCGAGAGAATGCAGATGGCATCTCAAGACCTCAAGACACTGATGCAAGGCTGCCAGACGGACCAGAGCTCATTGAATTGACTCGTGAGCCGGACAAGAATTCAAAGGCTGCCAGGCCAATGAATTCTGAATTTCCTCGCACCCTGAAACAGGCAGTCGCGTCCAAGAACATGTGGTCTTCCTTGTGGGGGTTAGCTGTTTTCCTTCGTTGCGGAGAAGATGGAATGGACAGCATGTTCTTGAAAAGGGCTGAGCTGGTAAGGGCACGATCGAGAAAGCTCAACTGGCACCAGTCCCTGGGTGTTTGTTTTGCAATCTGTGTGCACTCTATTTATGTGGCCATGGTTGCCGTGGCTATGACTGTTTTAAATTTTGACATCTGGTAAATATTTGTCAAATTTGGTCAATATGTATTCATTTGATGTCATTTTGTGTTGATGAGGACTATGGAGCACCAGCTGAAGGAGATGCGGCTGCAAGAAGAAGATGGTGAAGGAATGCTGGCGGGGCAGAAGGGCAGCCGGGCCTCCAAGTGGATTGTGCGATCATTGAAGGCCAAGAAGGATGGGTCCGACGAGACAGATAAGTTGCAGAATCTGGGCTAGTATGGTCTAGTGATATCTATTTGTATCTATTTATATAGATATCTACTTTTGAGATCTTTTGATATCTGTTGATCATTTTTTTGTATTTGTTGGTTTATTCATGCTTCTATGAAATGAGGTGATGGGGGTCCGCTTGCCATTTTTAATTGAAGCTTCTAAAGCACACATTTCATATATATATATATATATATTTGTTGTTGTTTGTTTTTTGGGTGAAAGTGCACTTTTATAAAATGCCTTTGATGGCCAGACACTATAATGAATAAAGTGAATAACCCACGACAAGCATTTTATATATGTATGTTGCTTTTGTTGAGCCTAGCCAAGGATGGGAAACGTGATCGTTCTGAACATGGGACCAGATCAAGTGCCTACAGTGGCGCTGGTAATGACGGTGTTTCCTGTTGCGAAAAAGCCACGACCCTGTGACTCAGTGTTGTGTTCAAGAAACTGTGGGTTGGGTACGATAGATTGGGTATGGTTGTGCATCCTATTGTGGGGTTTCTGCCAATTTTTGGATCATTTTGGATCTATGTTCTGCATTTTCAGCTTTGAATCGCTCTGAGGCGCTCAGCCTGTGCCGCTCTCCCACATCAAAAGCTTCCGGGCCGTCCAACTCAAGGGAAAGGAGGAGAATGGCAAGATCGTCTTTGAACCTACCTCGAATTCTTGGATATTTTCGTCTTCACATGTCCTAGCTATTTTGGACATTGATGCTTCGCTGTCGGATGTGGCCTCTGGAAGGTTGACTCTGACTCCAGAGTCCCTGGATGTTTTTGCCGAAGTGCAATCCGAGAACAAGCCAGAAGTGGAACCTTCTTCTCCAAAGCGACGGCGGAAGACTTCATCCAAGATCAATTTCAGCAAGGTCTTCAAAGGCTTCCATCGCGCAGCAAAGACTCTCATGAAGAAGGCTGAGAAGGAATCGAGTGCTCAGCCAGAGTCCATCAAGCCGCAAGATATCAGGAGATCGGAAGCAGGCCGAAAGAAGATCAAAAGCATCCTCGTCAAAATGGCCAGTTTGGACCAGCTTCACTTTGCAAACCCGGCCTTTGATGCAAAGACGCAGATGTGCAAAATCAAGACGATCAGTGAACAGTACTCCTTTGCGGACTTTGTGAACCAAGCTCCAGCGTACTACCAATTCAAATTCTTTGACAAAAGAAAAGGTGACAGCTATGGTGCAGCGGTTTGCGCAGAGTTGGGGAGCGCTTTGGATGAGATGAGAAATGAAAAGCCCAGCCGCACAAAATGGTTGGCTCTCATCAGTGATGTTCGCTCTGCAAAGATTGACAATGAGATTGCGATGTGAATCCACAGGATTCCAGACACAGTTTTTTCAAGAGACAATGAATTGCCTAAAAGCTGGCTATGTACATTTTGTCGCCAGCGCATGGGCCGCGGACGGATTGTGTGGGAGGTGAGAGCGAAGGAGTCAAAATATCAAGTTGCTGACAGCGAGGGTTGGTTTTGTCATTTTATAAACACCTCATAGGTGAGCTATAGGATTTCTTGAAGAGTCGGTTTGGCCTTTTTATAAACCTCCTGTTTTTGTCGCTGCTATGCTTACCTGAAGTTTGGGCATTTTATAAATAGGTTGGTTTTGGCATTTTATAGGAAATATACCCTGTATACCCATTTCATAGCCAAAATTCTCTATAAAATGCAATCTCTCAGCCGATATGCACAAGTAAGGGGGATTATGTATGTATGTTTGTTTGTTCGTTTGTTGTTTGCAGTTCAAGAACATTCAGTGTCAGGATTTGTTTGAACACAGTGATGGCTGTCGGCCGAGAAATCAAAATAAAACTTTCCAGCGAGGGCGTGCTTGAAATTGGGGTTGTTTATATTCCAATAGACATTCCCACATAGCTGCATGGAAAACCTTGATGTTAAGATCTTTTGTTGGTATATTTTGCTTTGTTTCATGTCATGGACAAGAACGCAGGCTTCAAGATCGTCTGTACCGGTGGATCACCATTGTCACCGGTCAGATCCTGAGCTGCCACGGCGATTTGTGAGTGGGAAGAACCAACGCCCGCCGCGGTCGGGAACTCTAAAGGCGTTACCTAGAAATCCAGTTTCTTTATAAATTGGTATCTGGGATCCTCTGGGATGAGGTTGTTTGAAGGAAGCTCGCAAAAACAAAGTTCAGCGAAGTTTGAGATTCATTATAGCACTGTATATTACAACATTAGACCAGTCTCTGCGAAACACTGAATGAGACAGTTTTGGCCTTACGTAGGTTCAATGAAATTCAAAACTGATGGGCGAGCGCGACAAATGAATCGCTCCGCTCTATCTGACAGGCAGCAAGACACAAGGATGGAAAGTTTCCTGTGGTAGTATAGGTAGGGAGGCTAATAGATGGAAAGCCTCCTGCTATATAGTGAACAAGAGGAAGCAATAACTCACTCAGAGCGGGTAGGAGAAGGGAAGGCGACCGACATGTCTGCCAACGAACTTTGCCTCCGGATAATTGGCGAGACAACAGAATCGCTCATGTTGACAGGCAGGTGCACTCCCATAGCCATTGGATGATTCCCTCTCTGATCATTGGACAGAGCAGCATCAGAGAGTTCTGTCCCTTCTAAAGCGAACTGTGAAACAGTTACAATCCAACGGAGAGACGTTTGTGACTTGTGTGAACGAAAGTCCCTTAGAAACAGGGTTTGAGAGACAGGTCGTTGTGATCCTGCGCACCCTCAACTTAAAAACAGATTACACACCAGAAAAGCCTTTAGAAGAGAAACAAGAACGAGGAAGAGAAAGGAAAACAAGAACGAAGGAGAGCAGCTCAAAACCTCCCTTACAACCTTAAAATGCCGTTAGAAGAGAGAGAGAGAGAGAAAGGGGGAGAGAGAACCAAAAACAAGGAAGACAAGAGACAAGAAAGAAGAACTAAAGAAAAAAAACACATAACGAAAGAAAGAAAGGTGGAAAATACACGCAGAAAAGCCGAGTCCGACGCACCTGCATTACACCTAACATCACGCAGCACAAGTCTTCAGAAGAGAAGAAGAAAGCCATCGAGAGGAAAAATCCAGGAGAAATGTAAACTCACGCAGCACACAATGAGTATCTGCAGCTTTGTTTCAACGGTTTTGAAAAGCATGCCACCCAATGCGGATAAGCCAGTGGCATTGTGTGAGGTTGGTGACTGTACTGGCGGCACTGTTGAGGGAGTTGTGGGCTGCGTAGGGTAATATGGCTAAGAAAACTGCATGGCGATCTCGGACTGCGTTTGTAAACTGCGAAAGTGATCAAGACTCAGGGATTTCGAGAAGACAATCGAGTCATACCGTTCAAAATCTAGCCGAAAATGATTCAATCGTTCATGACGAAAGGAAAGGTTGAAGTATGTTGAAGTAATGACATATACCTATAACCTCTTCTTGGGCAGAAATTTCTGCCTGTTGTGGGTAACGGCGACTTTGCCCGTGCTTAGGCGTTCTTGTCCCCTGTAGGCGTTCTTGCCCCCTCTGGGCGTTCTTGTCCTTTTGGTGGCATTGCTCAAATACATGTTCTTCCCGTCACTTAGGCGTTCTTACCCGTTACTTGGGCGTTCTTGCCCGATACTTAGGCGTTCTTGCCCGTTCCCCCTCACTACAATCAGTAGTTGGGTGGACAACGGAATGGTAGCCTTTTGGGGGGAGTGAGCGACATGAGTTTCAACAACTTTAGACTGGGGATTAGCGTCAAGTGGCAGGCGTTTGTTTTCTCAATTTTTGTCATTCAATTTCTGGCTCTGCCTCCTGCATGTAAGAATGCATGTGATTGTGCCTCGGCGTTTTTGACCCTCGAGGCTGCAGCTTAGGCGTTCTTTGCAAAAATGGGCTGAATTTTCTGCCTAAACGGCGTTGGGCGGAAATTATTGCCTAATGAGGTTCTAGGTATAAGTTTGGAAAGAAAAGTGCTCTCTGACATGAAATTCATTGAAATTCAGTAAATCGTATCCGTGGACCCGGCGGTATTCTATCAGCATTCTCATGGAAAAAAACATAGTTTGATCAGAAACTGCATCCAGGTGTATAAAGATCTGTTCAGTAAGCAGGCCTTCACAGGAAGGAGCAAAGTACGCGCCCCGCAGGGGTGACACAGAACACCGCAGTGGGACGATGCTGCAAAGACACATTTAGATTTAGATTGGTTGCTCAACTGAATGACCTTTTTTTCAGAGACCCAACCACCGATTCATTAACACTTTAGTGCACTAGACCGTTGCTGCAAAACAACGCAGCTGACAGCGGTAAGCTCTACTTAGCATCACATTTGCTAAAACACATAAAGGTGTAGGTGCAGGACTGTGTGTCCACATTCCCTTCCGGCTGAATCCCATAGCTTTGTTGGGAAGGCTACGGAAACAGCTGCCATGCCCTCCTGCATCATGACTCGGATGAATGAAAGAATAGGCGCAGTAGCAGTAAGGAAGCGATTGACCTGCAGGTGATCCTCAGACACAGCCAGTGACACACACACACAGACAATTGCGGACAGTAAGTTGAGCGCCGCCTGGACTGGCATGGCATGTTGCAGCGCCGAGCCCCACCAGATCTTTAATGACAACATGATAACCTCCTAAATGTCAAACGTGCAAAACCTGCATCATCCGGTCACCACAATAGCTTGGTCTATATACTACTTATGAACTCTTATGAACTTCCTGTGGACACCCATTGGATGATTCCGGAAATTTCAGTTGAGTTGTGCGTGTTTTTCCTGTGTAGGTGTTGCATGTGGCGCTGCGTGGTCCAAACTTTGGAGGTGATCCACACAGGTGAGTGCAACACATTCGACGTGTGCATCGTATTCAGAGAGGTTCAACGATTCGCTTACCGTCGATGAAACGCAGATCGCTTCGACTAACTTGGGAATCTTGAAGATCCAAACCGCCCAAAACATGATGTCTTGGAAGAGTGAACATATATGTGTGTTTGTCCACAGTTTCGGGATGTTTTCCGGTATATCCGCTGTTCCAAGGCATATTGGTGACCGCCAGCCTTTGGCTGTCAACAGCCATTGTTTTTGCCACTTGGTGACCGAAAACCGCCATTCCGATGCACAGTGCAGCGGAGGGCACGAGCAACAGCGTGTGGCCAATGCTGTGTTTTTTTTGGGAGGTTCTACCGAAGTTCTACCTGTCAATCTAGTGGAAGGTGGGTGATGAATAGGGATGCGGACTGGTGCGGAAAACGAAGAATCAATAACCCAGAAATGGTCCCATGATCTCAGTGGACACCAGGTGGGACCCTGATTCCATGAAGTGCATGAACCTATGCAGTTTCATTCCTTCCTTCGCCGACTTTGCGACATGGATTGGTTTCAACAAAACACGCCGCGAGGGAGTGAACAAACAAAATGTATAATCATTATTATGGCGTTCATGGTAATGGTAGTTCACTATATGGATGTGGATCATGGCACCAGGATACATTGGTTGACCAACCTGGAAGGTCAACTGAACTACATGGTGGACCAGGGTTCCAGGTTCTGACCCATCCCCATATGCTTTTGTCAAGACCCGACACATGGGACTGGAATAGTTACGTACATACCGTTACTTTTACCCATTTACCCCGTTTATGGCCGTAGGTAACTATTCCATACATGGATGGTTTTGGGATGACCATGTAATTAGCAGGTGTTTTTGCACTTGCATGATCACTTCAGGGAGTTCATAGAGTTTGGAGGTTGAGATTGGCGTAGCCTGACAGAGTGATCACTGCTCGTTGCGGTCTGTTTGGACCAGCTCCACTGAACGGATTGGCCCAAGACACATGAGGGACACATTCAAGAAGAGACATGGGTCCGTCAACCTGGAGCCAACACCATGCAGCGAGCGAACGACACCAAGTAGGGGTCTAGCAAGAAGGTATCCGGTTGGCCATGACCCATAGCCACATAACAAACAAATGGTTTCCCCTATCATCCACAACAAAGCTTACTTCCCACGGTGCGGAGAAAAAACGACAGAACCACATCCTCCATATAGTGAAAGAGCCGAGGGCCTTCCGAAGGCGCCTTCTTCTCGACCGACCTTCCAGTCTTGACCGACCTCGGGCTCGGGGGCAGAACTGCAATGGATGTGGTCCAACTCAACGAAGGGTCGTAACGACCCGCCCCGTTTACGGTATAGGGACTTTCCAGGTCGACATGAAAGAGACACACCTGGATTGAGTCGTTTTAAGGGCGATCACCAGCCCATGGGACTGGACCAGGTTATATTTCTTTAGGGTAGGTATGAACGTACTCAGACCATCCATGGAAGAGATCCTTTCTTACATCAGATCATCAGGGTCATGTTTGTTTGGCCGATCTTTTTGTTTGCATGTTCTCCTTTTCCATTCCTGGAGTCTTTGGATGGAGTGATATATCAAGCGTGGTCCCGGGTCACGTCGGAATCGACGACTCCACATGAAACCGACCGAGGCGTCGATCAAAGCGCCAGCGCAGTTGTTGGACTTGTGCCAACGACCTTATTGTTGAAACGGGCGGGCTCGTCACTGCGACGTGCGGGCTTGCTTCCAGCAACGGGGATTTGAAGATGTTTGCAGGTATTTTGAGTGTTTTAGCTGTTTTTCCTTGTTTAGAGAGAGAGAGAGAGATCCTTATTCAAGCGAAGCTATATATATATATATTTATATATATATATATATTTGATCTTATTTCTTTGTTTCATCCTTCTTTCATGGCTGAACAGCCCGGACGGCACGTTTCGAAAAATAGGTTTGCCATTGCCATTCGACCGGGCCTTGGCACTTGAGTGATGAACATAACACATATCGGATCCCCAGGCCCCGGCGGTGCAACGCCCTGTCGCCGAGCGAGACGTGAGCCGTTTGGGGTGGACGGACCAGAACCCGAGGGCATTGAGTTGGCCTTTGGGCCCAGGAGCTAGGTTCGTAGCGTCCGGTCGCTAGGTTCGTGACCAGATGCGGTGGATGGTCATTGTACATGAACGGACATTCTCATGTTCTGACTCATCCATGGTGGTCGTAACTCCTCCAGTCCTGATGGATCAGGCTCAAATCTATATGACCCATCCATATGCAAGTAACTATTCCAGTCCCATGGATGCTTTGGGATAGGCAAAAAGGATTCTTGGATGCAGAATGGAGGGTGTAGTGGATGGTTCGGATACCTTGGTTGACCTACCAACGGCGGACTGGTCGGGCTCCAGGTGGGTCACGACCCCATCCCCAAAGGAATGCGACGGCGATGGGTTGACGTTGTGGAACACCTACCATCCCTCCAACTGCCCATGAACGTGAACTTCACCCACAGTTGTAGAGGAAAACATGGAAAAGGGTCTGGCTCTTCGGGGCCCTCTTCATCCACTTCACCATGATTGTTTCAGAGAGAGCCCACTCCGAAGCGACAATATGAAGGTTCCTTTATGGATACATATTGCGCATGGATTAGGGCATGTTGTCACCCTACTAAGAAAAGGCCAATGAACTCCCAGCGCACGGGTTCAGAGTGCTTTTCCGATACACAGACGGCTTGAGATGATTGAGATGATCACCTTTATATAAAACATATAATATATCCTTGATTGGTTTCCTATGATTTCCTGGAAGGGTTCTGGTTTCGTTCTGACCCAGATGCTCACTGCCCCATCAATTCTGATTTAATGCCACCCTGCCAATGTTTGCGGGGGCCGAATTTGTTGCCTTTGCTAATCGGCAGGGCTATGTAGGTGGCGGGACCATGGTGGAGGTACAGTGTCGAAATTGGACCCATGGAGAGACCTGCCAAGGCCGTGAGTCGTAGATAGTTCTACCAGGCTATGACTTTCAAGAAGTGCGTGTCCCACCAAGGCCATGAATGACGACCACATTTGGTCGGTGCAACGTCTACGGGGAGAGAGAGGTAGCTATAGTTCCTCACCCAGAACCCTATAATGAGTCTCCCATAGGTACCCCAGGTGACGGGTCCTATTTACAGTCACTTAAACCTCTCTTGCTTGCTCATGAACCAATAGGAACACACTGGGTGTAACGGTTGTTCGACCCATCAGCCCATCAGCTCAACACTGGACCTCTCCGGCATGTGTCGCGCTTGGACGTTCCTCTCCCTCGCTCCTTGAATCCGGGGGAGCCAGCGAGGCGGCAAACGAGTCGGCAAAGAAAGATCACACCAGGAGTCCTTCAAGTTGAGTGGTTTTGAGTCACAGGATGGACAGGCTACAAGTGGATCTTTGTGATGTGACAGACACGGGCGCCAAACAGGGGCACCCCCCACCCTTCCGTTCGCCAAGTTCGGCCTCCACGCCATGGAACTGAGCTCAGCAGCTTCGGTTTGGAGCTCAGTCAGTTTTCCATGCTTCACTTGGCCAACGGCCCGGCTCCTCGCCCTAACTTGAGAGATTTCAACGTGGCCGAAGCCGAAGAAGCCATCTCAGTCATGTCATCCCCCCCCACCGGGCTCGGAACGGAACTCCCTTCCCTCGTGCTGGCGTCGATCCACCATCCGTCCAAAGTGAGTGAAAACGGTGGACCGCGGTAGGTCTACCGCAGAGGAACCGCTTTGAAGTCACCCGGCGGTGCTTGGGGACCTCACGTTGGGTCCGGAAGACGGGTCGAGGGTCCGAACGGACGCGGACGTGGACGTGCATGGTTTTTCAGCAACGGGCGCCCTTAAGGTCATGGCACCCAAGCACCGACCCCGAGTCCAATGAAGAGGTGTCATGACTTCCCATGGTTTGGTGGGGGGAGTGGCCATGACGAAAACTCTGGAGGGTTGGGCGCTAAGAAGGAGGAAGTGGCCAGTGTTCACCATGGGTCCATGGGCAACTATTGGTTGGGGAGTGTTGGGAGAGGTGCCATGAGTTCTAGGAGAGGACAACTCTTCAGAACACCATGAGTTCCCAGGGGAAAATACATGCGAAAGATGTGGTGTTGCACCTGTTTTGCATATGGCACGCCATGGCAGGCCCGTTCGTCGCAGTGTTTGGACCGAGCTGATCTGGTTTTCCCCCCTTGTCCACCGATGTCTACCGATGAGCTCGGACCGCAGCGAAACGAACCCTTCGAAGTCGTGACCCGTGAGACGTGGGAAGCCGTGGGAAGTCGTGATACGGAGCTCCGTCACGGGTGGATCCCAAAACCAATACCGTCAATTAGGAAGAGAACATCAACACTTGGACACGTCATGAGCTGAACATGTTGAACCATGATCAGTACAACATGTTGAACCATCCGATCAGTCCCAAACACTCCATGGGACTGCCATATATATATATATATATATATGATTATCTATATGCCCAAATTGGGGTGGTTGAACAGGGGTCAATGTCGATAAATATGCCGTACATGGAGTGTTCATAAGCAGCATTCAAGTAACATTTGGGTCCTACGCTTCGTCTCGTCGCTGAGTGAAGAAACAACTTGGGGTACGATTCAGCAGCCATCCATGTCGGCTGAGAATGTGCACCTGCAGAGTGGCAATTGAGAAGTCACAAGCCCATGCCAACTAGTAACATCTAGTAACAAACCATGAAAAAAGGGGATACTGAATGCCAACCACAAAACACAAAACACAAACGTAACTTGTTGTTTTGTCATTGAGTCATAGGAGGATGTCGAAAGCGAGTCAGACTGATGACAACTGCTGAAATGTGTGTCGATCAACTCTGTGAAAGCAGGCACGAAAGACCTATCCGCGGTCCCGACCCTCCTCGGACGATCAAAGGACGAGTGAAGATCGCTTCCAGACCTGCTTGGGATGAATATTTGCGGTTCACAACAGTATAAAGGTTCGATTTAGTCTTAGTGAAATCAAATCCTTGTGGGCGTTGGATTCGATATTTGTCTTTGGCAACCTCCCAACAGTTGGGACACGTGTTTCTTTACCACAACGTGCCGCACCTGCCGTGTTCCCACAATGGTGGCTGCCATTGCAACCGAAGGCAGGCCAGTTCGGACATGGTTTGGAAAAGGGAAGGAAGGCAAGGCACCAGAGGAATCGCAGGAACATGGGGGACAACAGGAGCTATTTCTGAATCTCAAGAAACTAATTAGTAAAACTGTTGATTGACTTCCTAAAATGAGCAGAACAGACATTGAGAAACAATTCTGCTTGAGCTCCAGCAGTATTAAAGGTAATGTCCAGCTTTCATGTGAAGCAGTTTTGAGTTTGAGTGTGCTTTTACCACGTGGCGCTTCACAGCAGGATTGAGGGTCCCCTCTGTCACCGACTTCTTAGCCCGGATTCTTGGGGTCGTGGACCTTGATGGTGGCCATTCTAGAACGTAGAAACCTGAAAACAATGTCTTCGCAGCTGAGAAGATGAATCCAACAAAATACCATAGATAGAGGTCACGTAAGGTCACAAATCCTAGAAAAGACCTGATTTTTTTTCTGTGTTTTGTCTATATATATAGAACAAACGAACCAATTCCCGTTACATCAGGGACTCACCGTGAGGGTCTTTGGCAGGTGCCGTGGTGACATCGGCCGAAGACTCCACGGCAGCGTCACTTGGAGCGGTTGGAGCGTTGGTGCCGTGGTGGAGCAGTTGCAGGCAGAAAAGGTCTCTGGAAGAGTTAAGCCTGAAAAGGTCATGAACTCGTGGTGAGGGCTTAATGAAGTCATCTCGTCATCAAATTGCAACATGAAAGGGTCATTCATAAATTCTTTTTCGGGATGAAGGCTAGTGTCTCGCGACGCACCTGCGGTCATTCATCAATGGGATAAATGATAAATCATGCAACTCGCCCCATTCGTTAAACCGTCCCATTCGTTTGGCATCTCGGGGTTCATATCACTGACACTTCATGTATGGACCTGTATGGAATATTCTGCATTGACCCTTGGAACCACCTTATATGTATGTAAATATGCCAGTCCCATTAGTCGTGTTTGGGTCTGGAAGTGTTGTTGTTTTGATCTTCGTGCCACGACGACGACCCCTGGCCTATACAGATGTGACGTGACGCTCGTGTTCCTGGGTGTACCTGGGTGGATCGGAGAGCTCGATGTGGTCCGCTTCGGCGCTTCGGCCACGTCCTATGTACAACACACTTGTGATCACTGTTCATGGAGCATGTTGGAAGTAAGGGTACACGGTATACCTGTAATTTTTGTTGGTAACCGGTATAGTAACGTACTATACTGTACCTAAGTACTATACTTAGCTATACGTACTATACGCACTTCTTAAGTATAGTATAGTATATACCGATATAGTATAGTGTAGTAGTATAAGTACTTCTTAGTATAGTGTAGTCTAGTCTAGTATAGTACTTATCATTAAGAAGTAACGTACTGTCAATACGACATGTCTTCTCTTCTCCAGCTGCCGGGTCCCACAGTTCCAGATCCTTGGACGTCCGGCCCCTGGAGCTGGACGTCCAATGGACGTGCCGTTTGGATCATGCGCTTGGAACAGGAGACACACTGGACACTGGAGTGTACCTCTAACTACCTATTACCAGCAGTTCCATGTCGGGGGTGCGAACCTGGGAGGAGAGGTGCCCCTGTCACAACCACTCACTGGATGACACTAAAAACACCCCCTTTGACCCCACCACATTTTAACATGAGGTCCAAAGAAGTCAGTTTGTTCTCTCAAAATGGGTGCCGACATTTGATTCTATAGAGAGGGCACGCCATGTCGCCAGATGTTTATAGAGATCCTAACATTTAATTATGTAGAAAGCATTTGGAGTAGTAGAAGGCTGAGAATTGAATTTAGACTGGATGGTGTGTTGTGAGGTCCGGTAGGTTGATTTTCAACCTTCATGTCAATTTCAACCTTCATATATCCTACATATTTTTCTAAAATCAATTTCAACCTTCAAATGTCCCCACACTTCTCATAAAATCAAAACCAACCTCTTCAACAACTTTTGTCCAAGATTTGTCTAAAATCAATTTCAACCTTCATATGTCCCCACACTCCTCTATAGAATCAAAACCACCCTTGGCTATGCATCATTGATTATCCTATTTTTGCAATCATATTTTTTCATGATGATGAACACCCATACCCTGAGGCACTTGATTCTATAGAGAATACTGTATGTTTCCAGCACTGCAGGAGGTTGATACTTGATTCTATATAGTGGGGCAAACTGCCCTCGGGGCCGGGTTTTTCGTTTTATCGCTATAAAATCAAGTCTCAAGGTACACCGGTATTTCCACAGGGGTGTATATTAACATATAAGGTTATAATGTTAAAATATATATATACACACATATTACATATCCCTCGGACGTTCATTCGTCCCCTGTTGATCTGAGGGATGACACAGCATAGGGCTTGGATGAGTCGTTCTTGTGGTTCATGTTGTTCCAGCATGGCCAGTCGAGTATGGCTTTGGCCAGGAGAGATTTCTCAAGCTGCACACCATTCTTGGAGCAGCAGGACTTGACATAGTCTGAGGTTCAGCTATGGAAGTGGCTCAAGACCCGCAAGTGCTCAAGCAATGGGTGCTACATGGTGGCTCGCCCGAATTCCTGAAGCACTTTTCATGGCTTAAGCAAGGCCGCAGAATGGAGCACCCACGACAGAATCAATGATGGGCCTCACGCGAGAAGATGTCGAGTACATCAGAAATCTTGGCTCTGCAAACCCCGCGGCTGCGCGGTCAAACCTGTGACAGCGCCGAGCAGGTCACGCAACTTGACCTCCAGTCGCCCTTGCGCGGGAATATTGAAGCCGCTCTGCGCGCTCAGGTGCGACACAAAGACCGCGCGGATTTGTTGTTTTTGACATTGGGTGCTATATTCTAACCCCTTCCGAAGTTTCGTTTGCGCCCAGGTGTGCGCCCATCGGGCCATGGACGCACCAACAAAGCTCTCTGCGGCAGCGGTAGATTTTGACGCGGGAAATCCGAGAGGGCGCGTGGGTGAGACCGCGAGCGATGCAATGCACCAAGCAGCTCGCGGCCACCCTCTTCCCCAACATCTCGGGTCTGCGGAGAAACCGCACTTTTGAATCTTTCGAGGCCCTGCTGCAAGTGACACCGGGCGGCGAGTCCCTGGGCTTGGTTTGGATGCAGGGATGAACTTTGCTACGGGGCCGCAGCAGTGCGACAGGCACACTGTTGCACCATACCGTTTTTACGACCGCGCAGCGGTGCGGACACCGGTGCTTGAAGTCGCTGCTCTATTTGGAGCGCCGGTGGGTGCGATCATTGGGCCCCCGGCGCAAATGGCGGGGCGTCACAATTGGTTCTTGCAGCGCTGGACGGCAGCAGGGCCAGGAAGCTGAATACGCTCCGGGCCTTGCTCAACGGCGAGCTGCTATAAAGATATTTTCCCCAACGTTGATCTTCCACGTATTTCCACGTTTTGCATCGCATTATCCCGGCAAGAGACTCCAAACAGTCAGTGTCTGTGTGTGAGGTCTTTAGCTGTAGCAACAGAAGGTCTAGAGATCTAGACTCATTGGGGTCCAGAGAGGTGATGGTGGTGATGAAGGTGGAGATCGTGGTGATGGTGTTGGTGGTGAGTGAGTGTGAGTATGAGTGTGAGTGTGGGTGAGTGAGAGAGAGAGAGAGGGAGAGTGAATGTGAGCGTGTGTGAATGTGAGTGAGTGAGAGTGAGTGTGAGTAAGAGTGAGTGTGAGCGTGGTGAGAGAGTGAGACAGTGAGAGAGAGAGAGAGGAGAGAGAGAGAGAGAGTGTGAGAGAGTGAGGGAGAGTGTGAGAGAGAGGGAGTGAGAGTGAGAGTGAGTGAGTGTGAGCGTGAGTGAATTGAGCCAGAGTGAATGAGAAGCGAGATTGGCATCAAATTGAGAAGAGTCAGAGTAGAGTGGGAGTGAGTGCGAGCGTGAGCGTGAGCGTGCGTGAGTGTGAGTGTGATTGAGAGTGAGAGTGAGCATCTGAGAGCACAAAGTGCTGTGCCCGCCAGGAAGCCTGCAAACGAGCCACATGTCCAAAAGTCACGATTCACGGCACCTGTCACGAAAAGTCGACTTTGCGCCACAAAAACACGAGGTTTCCCTTGCACTTGCCACGAAAAGTGACCATCATGTCCGAAATTGCGCACGGCGCCACAACGTGAGCGCAGTCGCGACAAGTGCCCGCTCCACCCAACCAGATTTTGCGAGCCTGTGCAGTCGAAATGCACTTGGCGGATTTCGAGAGGCATGAATGTACTGTAAATAGCGGCCAATTAGCTGCACACGCCGGCGCAACACCTCAATTAGGCACTGCTTACCCTCAGTCTTCTGAGATAGTAATTTACTAAATCCTTGAAATTACGAAAATTGAAAAATGACTATATAAAATTATACCAGCGTAGACCCCAAACAGAGCAATGTTCAAAAATGAGATCTCCGAACAATATGGCCAGCAGTATTTCCTAGAGGAAGAAAACTGTAGTCCACCATGTAGACGCACATACAAGATTCAAACGGAAAGCATTAACATTCTGTTTTTCATTGACCTTACAATGGGACGCCGTACAAGGGCTAAAACATGAAATTTATGGATCCAGGTTGTGACTCAGAGCATCCAGAGCTTACTGGGAGACAAGTGGGAGACAAGTGTGAAGTCATGCGGTCAGAGCACTCAGAGCATCCAGCACAAGTATAAAATCACTCAGAGCATCCAGAGCTTACTGGGAGACAACTGGGAGACACGTGTAAAATCATGCGGCCAGAGCACTCAGAGCATCCA